GTCTACTTACACTGCTAAACTAGAGGAGTGTGCGCGATATATATAAGATGCGAGCACGCAGCGCAGCTACGGAGGAACAACTGTGTAGATGAACGGAGACGCCTGCATCGAGGAAGCCTAGCTGTGAAGCTCTGTTCATCACGCCATCCTCACGCGCCGTCACGCGCGGAGAAGCGCCGACTTGTACGGAGGGACCTTTTCACCGCGAGAAAGACGCATGCGGAATTACACGAAGCAGATATGTTAGTTTCCCGATAAACAGACGTGCATTTAGACTTACTGTTGAACCGCAGAAGCAGCGAGAAAGGGTTCTGCTGTAATGTGAAATAGAGTCGAGCGTTATCGCTGCAGTCTTATAACATAGACCAAGTACGTGGAGTATTGTAGTAGCTGCGAACATACGGATACTGTCATTGCCAAGAGCTTGCTATCGCTAATCTTTCTTCACTCGTCACAGAGGCCACTAGCGATGATTTACGCTAACACAACGTCTATGGACCACCTCGACATCGATGACAACAAAGCTGCGATTGACTTTGTAGAGTTCGTTATTAATTCAATTCTCTCTTCAATCGTCTGCATCGTGGGTCTAATCGGAAACATCATCAACGTGATCGTGCTGTGGCGGAGTCAGCGACTACGGGCTGTCTCATACACCTACTTCCGTTGGCTAGCAGTGAGTGACCTGCTCATCATTCTACTCTACTCTGCAAGAACCATATACAATAGCTACGACAAGAGATCGTGGGCTCTTGGATTAATACGATTCCATGCCAACGTCTTTTACGTCATATTTCACAGCATGAAGTGTGTTAGCGACATTCTCATTATGATAATGACTATCGATAGGTATGTGGCTATATGTCACCCATTTAGATTTCACAAAATACGGTCTCAGAAGGCTGCTAACACTGCTGTTGTCGTAGCTGTGCTTCTATCATTCGTTATCCACATACCGAAAGCGTTCGAGAGATATGTTTTTTTGAAAAAAGATGGAAATTATACCTACTACTCATACAAACAACGCGACAAGTATATAACCGAGAGCCATGTATACATCTACGCTTGGATCATCACGAAAGAACTCATTAACAAGATCTTTCCCATCATGGTTCTCCTGATATTAAACCCGCTCATTCTGAAAGCCCACC